TTAAAAACAAATTACCAACATCTCCATGCTGTCTAGATGCAATTTGTGTATTTTTGGATTTTTGTCTTAATAACTGAATTTTTGACAGCCGTTTGAAATCTGCTTTTACACACTAACAGCTGCTGTCTTGCACACAGGTGACTGGCTTAGTCAATTTGTGAAGCTACATATGACAATTCTGTTTGCCAATTAGCTCAGTGAGATAGAGGATGGTTCTTGGTATTGAAGATTGTGAGTTCAAGCCTCAGCTCATGCAACATTTCCATATGAGAAATCTACCCAAACCTTTAGACAATATCATCAATACCATCAGACAATAGTCCTGATGGTGGCGCTACAGCAAGCCTCTAAATTTCAAAACTTTTAAAATTCATAACAAATCCATATGTGCTACAGCTTTGGAACTTTCACTTTGAAATTTGCTTTTCCATGGCATGGATGGCTACTGTCTGGCACCCTGATGCTTGGCTTAGTCAATTTGTACATTTTAAAAAATGTTTTCATCTTTGTCACCACTGAAAATGTTTAGCTTTAAGCTAGATCAGGCCAGTTTGTTCACAATTGCTAGCAGTTAATGTTATTCTTACTTTCTTGTTCTTGAGTTTTTTATTTCCTTTGTATATTATGAGCCTGGCCCCAACCATTGCTGTGCAGCAGCTGTAATATTCTGTCTGTAATTTGGAAGTTTGTGGCAAAATTTTGCTCTCTTAATGCGCTAAGACCAATGGGACCTCTGGAACACCTCTGTTTTTTTTTTTGTTGTTGTTTTTTTTTTTTTGTTTCTTTTTCTTGTGCGTGTGTGTGTGTGTGTGTGCAGGGGTTGGTGTTAGTGTTGTCAACGTTTTTTTGTAAAATTGTATTATTGTAATTGGCCTTACACAACCTCTATTGGATATATTTAATATGATTTTTAAGAGAGCTATTGGTCTGCCCATGTAAATTGTATATTCTATGATTTTCCGAAAATAAAAACTATAAATCGAAAAAATTAAAAAAGAAAACTCTCAGAGAGCTCTTAACTTGGCCTTAAATTTTTTTTTGTTAGGAATCTTAGTTTAGGAGTGATTTAGGAAAGTTCTCTGAGCAACTCTGAGCAAGGAAGGGACAGAAACTTTTATCTTACTGAGGAGGTGTGGTGACCCTGTTGCTAGTTATGATGCATTCTTTTAACTGATGTGACTGGTTGTCATAGACACACCCTTTTGTGAGCCTACATGGTGTGGACACCCAGAGGAAATGAGATGAACTGCTGACTGTGAAAGTGTTGTCACTGTTAATGTGATCACTCTGCCGATGGAAGGTTGAGACAGACTCAAGTCATCACTGCTGGACTGTTACATTTTTTCAAATATCTTAGTATTGCTATCATTTTATTTCTGGTGCTATACGTTATTGTGCTGGGTGTGAAATGTGTGCATATCCCAATGAGATTGATTAAAAATATTTTCCCTGCATTATCTGAGCTAACCTGAGCATTTCATTTATTCACTGTCATCTAGCGTCTGGAGAATAATTAGCTTAGTGTTTCCATCATTTTCTCCTCTGATTAAGAAACGCTTAAGCCTCTAAAAAGGTCTAAGATGCTTTGTGAATAATTTTTATCTTTACAAGGAACTAGTATTAACTTTAAGGAGAAATTCTAAGAAAACATAACAATTCTGAGAATTTTCTCAGAATTTAGTCACTAGGAGCAACTTTACATACTAGAAAACTTTGTGAATATGGCCCCAGAAGTTTTGCAACTTCCCAAAGTCATTGTACAGTATGTTGATTCCCCCACAGGCTGAGGCTTTCCCAGGAGGGTGTTCTTTCACCCAGCCCTTTTACCTTGTACACAAATGAATGCAGAAACCAGTATTAATATTATAACAGGCTTATAACAGGTTGAAATTGTCATTGTCAGTCTTTTAAAGGACAGTGAGTCTGAGCATGGTGTGAGTTTGATTTCAGGATAAAAATGTGCCAAAAACCAAAAATATGATCATAGAGTTTATATCTATATATATATACCTAACCACTGTCATTGACAATAAGCTTTTTTTCGAGCAAAGGAGGTGGTCAGGTGACAAAGAATAAATTATGTACATGTGTAACATCACATTGTCACATCACATTATGGCCATGTCGTCATGTCACATCATCATTCCATGCCGTCACATCGTCAAGTCATGCTGTCATGTCATCAAGTCATACCATCATGTTAAGTTAAATACGTTACATGACTTGGCTTTCATTTGAAAAATATCATGTGAACCCTTGTACACAACAACACGTTAT